TACATTTCTTCAGTTCAACAGTATTTTCTTAGCCATGACCAATAACACACTGCAATGCCAAAATTTTAAAAATACTAAAATAAATCATTTTAAAAAGAACATAAGATGCTAAAGACATGATGTGCAGTTTTGAAAACCCCAACACTGAGCCCAACAAAGAGGAGAAATACCTCCAACATTCACAAACATTTGACCACGCAGCATGTAATTAATTTGCATGAATGTAATGTCTTTGGTATGCTGCTTAGAGATGCTGGTGACAATGAGCAAATGAGAATTGAGAATCAAGAAGGAATCGAATCAATAAGTGATACTGATAATGGAATCGGAATCGTTAAATTCTTATCAATTCTGAACCCTATGTACCACTGTCCTTCTTGTAGTCCAGTTATTGCAACAAAAAATTAAATAAAACAACAAAAAATAAAACAAGCTACTGTGGTCTGATACAATCACCCAGACTCTTGAGTTTCTTAAGTTCGGAAAAAAGTTACCAGCATTAAGACTACCGTACTCTGAATTAATACAGTGTCATTCAGTCCCTTGGTAATAATTGTAGTAGTAGGTTTAGTGCATAGGTCACTTAAAACATTACCAACAAAGTCATCAGCAACAGTTCTTGGGAGATCTTGTTTGTTTTTTAGTTACAACTCTGTATTTTTGTAGTTGTTCTGAGTGCAAACTACTTATGGGTAGATAAAAACAGATGATCTGTGTTCTAGACAGTAATCGCTTCAGAGGCCACTGAACCCGAGTGACAAATGGAAGCAAGGTTGAGATGGTTTGGAAATGTGGAGAGAAGGAATAGTAGATATAGTGGACAAAGGATGATGAAGATTAAGCAGTAAGACATGAGAAAAGCAAGAGGAAAGCAAAAAAAAAAAAAAAGTGTTCTAATGCTAGAATTCAAAATTTCAGTTTGAGTGCGGGTGTCCCCAACTTTATAAACAGTACACTTGCATAATGACTGAAACTAGCCCACTGATGAACAATGGCCATTAATATGCAAATTGTCATTAATGCTGATCAACCAACAACCACTCTTGTCTTCCCAAAGGAATAAAGTAACATATATGTTAAAGATACTAAATCTATGCACTAACTTCAAAATTTAGTATGATTGTCTTGTCCACAATAATAGAGGGATATGAGGGGATATGATGTCTGAAAGGGATCACTTGGTAAAGTTATTTTATTTTATGAAGGGCTCTTTCGTTTGCTTGTTTTTGGCTTTTTCATTTTGTATTGCTTTTAATTCAGATATTGTACATTGACTTTGTAAAGCAAATTGATGCTGTTTTTTTAACGTGCAATAAAAATAAGGTTTGCATGCTTGCTTTTTTT